AGTCCTGGCCTGCAGATGAGTGTAAACTGTAGAGTCCTGGCCTGTAGATGAGTGTAAACTGCAGAGTCCTGTCCTGATGATGTTGTTCGTCTGTGCTGGCTCATTCTAATGAAGAACCAGTCCACAGGACTTATTTTTGACTTGTCTACCTGGATCACTGAGATGCATCAGGACAAAACTACAAAACGGTTTATTACTGTTTAACGCAAGTTCTATTAAAACCTGTCCAGTGATTCTGTAGATATTTTGCTAACAGGCAATTAGAGAAAGACATAAATGCCAGGACAAGAACATGATTACCTGCCATTAATAAGATTTACGTGATCAATTTTGTCACCAATTAAGGCTGACTGACAAGAAAACAATAGGTTAACTCTTTAAGACATATTTATAAACAATAAAACATAAATATGTTGTATTTTAAACGGTAAAGATTAGATAAATATATATAAAACATGTAATGGGTAAAAGAAAATGCTGAAAATGATCGATGGTAGCACTGAAAGCTAGCGGGGAGCAGGTCGCCTTTCCCCGGGGGGCGTTTCGTGGTTAATGATAGGAACGTGAACGGCTGAAATGGACCCGTTTTCAGGGTCGAAACGAGGACGTTACCGCTAGAAAAAAACTACCGCAGAGACGTTCGGACGACCGTGTTTCATGAGGCATCACCGAACTGCCCGGGCGGAGCGGGTCGGTCTGCATTTAAGGGGGTGAAACACACAATGGAGGCTACCGAGTCCAAAAAAAAAAAAAAAAAAAAAAAAGAGAGAGAGAGAGAACCGAGGCGGCCATAAACCCTGGTAACTGGAGCTAGCTAACGTTACCAGCAGGCCGGGGGAGGACAGCCGGGGAGCCGCGGAGGGTTTCAGCAGAAAAACAGAAGCAGCAGCCCGGTTTGTTTTTAGCTAACTGGAAAATACGCAGAGAGGAAGGCGTTTCTTTCTGCCGGACTCGTCTGGAGCAGACGACGGGTCGGTTCGGTTCGGCGGGGCTGATGGGAGGACGGTCAACCGCGGGGAAGAGGAGGCGGACGAGGCGGGGAGAAAATGTGCCGACCCCTTGCTGTGTTTCTGAGCAGCGGTGACCCTGGATCGGCACAAAGGGAGGCTCGTCCCACACCTCCTCCTCCTCCTCCTCCTCCTCCTTCTTCTTCTTCTTCTTCTTCGGAAGAAAAAAAAACACGACACTTTTCCACGGGACATTTTACTTAGTTTATCGCGGATCTCACGAGGCGCGGGGGTCGACCTTACCTGCTGCCTGGGCGTCGATGCTGCTAGTCGGCGTCGTAATCCACTCGGTACCGGAAAAAAGTAAATCCTCAAACGGCAGTGTCTCGCTCGCTCCCGTGTCCGCGCTGTTTAACAGGAGGCAGCAGCAGAAAAGCGATTACAGACGAACTGAAGCTGCCGTGCGCGAACCGCCTCCACGCGCGCTCCCGCTCTGCTGCGCGAGATCCTGTGCACGTGGGCCGCATCGGTGGGTGAAGCGGGCCGCAGCACAACCTTCACGAATCAGCTAAAATACTGAAAAACAAACAGCCCTAAGGTGATGGTTTTTAATAAAATGTTTCTTAGGCTTTCAAAATGTTTACAAGATAAATATAATCCACAAAAACACAGTCTTACAGCTGAAACTGTGCTCAAAACAAACAAAAATACATCAGCTAAAAGCTAAAAAAGAACATTACATTAGCTAAAGGCAGTTGTTAAAGTTAAAGAGAGCAGAACACCTGCTAAAAGAAACAAAATACTAGCCAAAACCTAAATGAAACAGAACACTGGCTAAAAGCTTGCAGAATGTTAGCTTAAAGCTAAAAATATCAGACCACAAGCTAAAAGAAGCAAATTACTAGCTAAAAACATAAAACACTGGCTAAAAGCTAGCAGAATACCAGCTAAAAGCTAAAAACAGATCACAAGCTAAAAGAAGCAAATTACTAGCTAAAACCTAAAACACTGGCTAAAAGCTAGCAGAATACCAGCTAAAAGCTAAAAACATCAGATCACAAGCTAAAGGAAGTAAATTACTAGCTAAAACCTAAAACACTGGCTAAAAGCTAGCAGAATACCAGCTAAAAGCTAAAAACATCAGATCACAAGCTAAAGGAAGTAAATTACTAGCTAAAACCTAAAACACTGGCTAAAAGCTAGCAGAATACCAGCTAAAAGCTAAAAAAAATCAGATCACAAGCTAAAAGAAGTAAATTACTAGCTAAAAACATAAAACACTGGCTAAAAGCTAGCAGAATACCAGCTAAAAGCTAAAAACAGATCACAAGCTAAAAGAAGCAAATTACTAGCTAAAACCTAAAACACTGGCTAAAAGCTAGCAGAATATCAGCTAAAAGTTAAAATATCAGATCACAAGCTAAAGGCAAATTACTAGCTAAAATCTGAAAGCAGAACACTAGCTATACATAGCTGATAGTTAAGATGCAGAACACTAACTAAAAAGAGTCAAAATACTGAGCAAAATACAACAAAATATTAGCTAAAACTGAAAAAGAACACTAGCTAAAAGCTAGCAGAATAGCTAAAAGCTAAAAATAGAAAATCACTAGCTAAAAGGTAAAAGTAAACTAGTTACAACTTACAACCTAAAAGTGCAGAACTTTAGCTTAAAGCTAGCAGAACACTTGCTAATAGCTAAAAATGCTAGAACACGAGCTAAAAGCTAACACAAGCTAAATAAGCAGCTTCTTGCTAAAACTTAAAAAAATTAGAACACGAGACAAAAAGTGTCAGAACACTAGCAAGTACAAGAAGTAAAATACCAGCCAAAACATAAAAGAAGCAGAACATTAGCTAAAAACTATATAAATAACACTAAAATATGCCAACACCAACTACAATGATCAAAATACCAGTTAAAGCTATCCAAAAATCTGAAAGCTAAAAGTGGCAGAGCAGTTGCTGAAAGTAACAGAACAGTAGTTAAAAGTAGCTTCAGAAGATAAAATCAGAGCCAGTGTGATGCAGAAGACAGTTCTTGTTCTTGAAAGAACTGAAGAGATTTTCATGTGTTTCTACTAGGAAATATTTGTAAACAAAGTTAAATATGTAAAAGTATAATAGTTTCATAAAACCAACTGAACATTTTGATGTATGAATCAGATTTCACACAGTTTTGTTTCGGTCCACACAGTTTGGTGTTTTGTTCCATCCCAGAAGCGCAGACTTCTGCAGCTCATCACGCCTGGTTGATCTGCTGGAAACTTGGTAAATACAATAATTCCCTTTATGCTCGGTCTTAAATGCCTCGATGCCATGTTTCAGGTTTCTTGGAATTAATCTTTCCTGCAGCTAGAAGCCAAAAAGAATTAAAGATTGTGCTGAACGCCCGCAGGTATCGCTCCCTCCCATTGCAGGCACAATCAGGATGTTTGTTTTTCTTCTACAGTCCCACATGGTAACACCTTCAAAGTACAGATTAATTAAAGTTTAATTAATCACATTTTTGATTTATTCTTGCTCCATTTCCATCACACTTTCAGATTCTCTCTTCCTACAACTTCAAAAAAAAAAAAGTTGAAATATGCATCAAACTGTGGCTCAGTCACGAATGTGTTGACTTTAGAAGCGGCACATTGTATGGTACAACCCAAATTTTATTTTGGTAAAACTCGTGTAATTGGACATATATTTTCAAATGGAACTTTCTTTCATCAACTTCCTGTAAATTTCAGGATATTATTTAAAATCTTCCTTCTAACAAATATACTGTATGTATAGTATAGTATATGGCCCAGCTGTGATTTTTATGGTCCAGCTGATGTTTCTTTGGTCCAAAGAAACTGCAGCTGGACCATTGAAACTACAGCTGGACCATAGAAACCACAGCTGAACCATAGAAACTACAGCTGGACCATGAAAACTACAGCTGGACCATAGAAACTACAGCTGAACCATGGAAACTACAGCTGGACCATGAAAACTACAGCTGGACCATAGAAACTACAGCTGAACCATGGAAACTACAGCTGGACCATGGAAACTACAGCTGAACCATGGAAACTACAGCTGGACCATAGAACCACAGTTGGGCCATAGAAACCACAGCTGAGCCATGGAAACTACAGTTGGACCACAGAACCACAGTTGGACCACAGAACCACAGTTGGACCACAGAACCACAGTTGGGCCATATAAACTACAGCTGGACCATAGAAACTACAGCTGGACCATAGAAACTACAGCTGGACCATGGAAAATACAGCTGGACCATAGAACCACAGTTGGGCCATAGAAACCACAGCTGAGCCATGGAAACTACAGTTGGACCACATAACCACAGTTGGACCACAGAACCACAGTTGGGCCATAGAAACTACAGCTGGACCATAGAAACTACAGCTGGACCATAGAACCACAGTTGGACCATAGAACCACAGCTGGACCATAGAAAATACAGCTGGACCATAGAAACTACAGCTGAACCATGGAAACTACAGCTGGACCACGGAAACTACAGCTGGACCACAGAAAATACAGCTGGACCACAGAAACTACAGCTGGACCATAGAAACTACAGCTGGACCATAGAAACTACAGCTGGACCATAGAAACTACAGCTGGACCATGGAAACTACAGCTGGACCATAGAACCTACAGCTGGACCATAGAAACTACAGCTGGACCATGGAAACTACAGCTGGACCATAGAAACTACAGCTGGACCATAGAAACTACAGCTGAACCATAGAACCACAGTTGGACCATAGAAACCACAGCTGGACCATAGAAACTATAGCTGGACCATGAAAACTACAGCTGGACCATAGAAACTACAGCTGGACCATAGAAACTACAGCTGAACCATGGAAAATACAGCTGAACCATGGAAACTACAGCTGGACCATAGAACCACAGTTGGACCATAGAAACCACAGCTGGACCATAGAAACTATAGCTGGACCATGAAAACTACAGCTGGACCATATAAACTACAGCTGGACCATAGAAACTACAGCTGAACCATGGAAACTACAGTTGAACCATGGAAACTACAGTTGAACCATGGAAACTACAGCTGGACCATGGAAACTACAGCTGGACCATAGAAACTACAGCTGGACCAT